TAAAGTTAAAAATGCCCTCAAAAGCTTCCAGATGCTTTTATTCCCACAAGAGGAATGACACAATACAGATAATAAATGGCCTTCAGCCAAACAGGAGGACAGTGAAGGAAACTCTAGTTCATTCTCTGTCACCCTTGGTGTCACTTACTTCAGGAAGCCCAGCCTTCCCAGCTCAGGTTAAATGCTTTCCTACTAACCCTTGTGCTTGGCCCATCTTAGCAAGCTTTCTGCTTAGGTAGGTGTTTCTCCCACTCACTGTGGGGCCTGCGGGCAGAAACAATGCCTGTCACTCACCTACTGTAGTGACTCACTTCACTGATGGTCCATAGGTGCTGGGTGAATAAAAACGAGGGCCTGATGCCTGACAACAGCATCACTGATGTTTATTTTACCCCTTTAGGCAATTCTCTTACCATGTGACCCCTCCAAAGGCAGGAGCAGTTGGTTAATGACACAGAGATAACCCGACTGTCCTTAGAAATGAGAAAAATCTTCCAAGGCCGGAAGGACAAGTGCAGGAGAGGGAGTTTGTTCTCTCTTCTCCTGTGGTTGAGCCTGGTGGAGCCTTTGGGCTGAGCACCTCTTACAACAGAGGCAGCAAAGCCTCTAGGTCCAGTATCTGGTGGCTCTCAGAAGTGTGATTATAGCCCATGGGAGCAAATGGAAGCAGAGAGCCCCTGGTCGCCTCACATACAGGCTTAATCTCACTTTTGGTGATAAGGCAGTTAAGATAAAGGAACCTGGAGTACAGCCGGGAAGTATGCACATGTGCACGAACACCTTTCAGTGTGCCAAGGACGTTAGTTGATGTTCTCTCTCTCTTCCCTGTTCCATCACCACAGAGGTGATCCTGTGGGCTTCAATGGTACCTACCCAACTATGTGTCCAGAAGTTCTCCTTTGTTTTGTTTTTTTTGAGGCAGGGTCTCACTATGTAGTTGAGACTGACCTGGAACTCACTAGGTAGCCCAGGCTGGTCTCAAACTCACAGCGATAACTCCTGTCTCAGGCTCCTGATCGCTGGAATTACAGGTGTGCGTCACCACGCCCAGCTCCAGAAGTTCTCTTTTGCAGAGTACAATTGTGTCCCTTGCAAGTTGGCTCAGCCTCAAGGCTGCTTGTTGACTTAGCTATCAAAGACCCCGTTTGGTATTTTCATGGGGGAAGTAGATCAGGTTTGTAGGCATAGCAAGCTTAGGAGGTGCAAAACAAGAGGCTAGTTCTCCTGTCTGGATTTTCTCCAGCTAGCTCACACAGAAGAGCCGTCCAGAGACCAGAACCAGAGCCCATGCAGCAGCCCAAACCAACTGCTCTGTGCATCATTTAACCCGGTACCAGATCTTATTTACAACACAGAATGTCCACCTTGGAGACTTTCTTCACTTCTACTGTTAGACGATTCTCTGTTAAGTTTTGCTCTGCACAATTAAAAATTTTATGTGGGTAGGGCCAAGGATTTAGCTCAGTGGTGCCGCTGCCTGCCTTGCAAGCGGAAGGTCCTAAGTTCAATCTCTAGTACCGAAAAAAAAAATTGTAGGTAATATGTGCAAACATTATCATAAAAATCAGGTAACACAAAAGTATACAGAATAGAAAAGTGCTTCTTACCACCTCCCAATGTTTCCTTCCCACTACTAGATTTGGATGGATTTCTCCCTTCCATTTACAAACATGTGCGCACACAAAAAACAGTCCTTGGTGTTTTCTGTTTTGATTTTGAGGCAGGGTCTCACGGTGTAGTTCAGACAGGCCTTGAACTCACTACGGAGCCCAAGCTGGTCTCAAACTCAGTTGATCTTTCCTCAGCCTCCTGAAGACTAGGATTATAGTCATGTACAGTCTTAAGTTTTTAATACTGTGTGTGTGTATATGTATATATTTTTAAATATACATACTAGTTTTATATATCCATTTTTACACAGTATATATTTTGCAATTTGTTTTTTACTATCAATGTTATCTTTGGAGTGCTACATTTTCACAAAGGGACAGATAATATTAATGTTCTATAGTGTGTATGAACCATAATTCAACTTGCCTGTTTGGTACTGGTTAACATTTGGGTTGTTTTTGAGTTTTTCAATATTAGTAGTAGAAATAGAATTGCTGGATTAAATTTTATGTAAACACACAACTGGTCTCCAGAATGCTTTACCAATTAGCATTCTCACAGCAGTGTTAACAGTACCCACCTTCACATGTCCATACCAACCAACACTGGGTATCCATACTCAACAGTTATGTGCAAGGCACTACTCTTATCACTAGGGAGCATCTCTGCCTTGTGCCACTTATACCCTAATGGAGAGAAACAAGATTTATTATTTATTACACATGTGATTCAGGTTGGCCGTGAACTCATTACATAGCCCAAACTGACCTTGAACTTGTGATCTTCCTGCCTCAGCCTCCTGAGTGCTAGGATTATAGGCGAGCGGCACCACACCCAGCTTTTAAGTCTGTAGTTTAAATTTATTTTGAAATAGGGTCTAACTAAGTTGACAAATTACCCACAAGGGGCTCAAATTTAAATCTTCCTGGCTCAGCCTTCCATAGTGCTAGGATTACAAGCATGTGTCACTGTGCCCAGCCAAAAGGTTTACCTACTGGAGTAGCATTGCTTGTTTATACAATTCCTCTATGAGATTAATCTCTCATTTTAGAAATAAAGAACTGCAGAGCTGGTATGTAACACAAGAATTACTTGGCCAAACCTTTTTTTTTTTTTCTTTTGTGGTGCTGGGAATTGAACGTAAGTCCTTGGGCATACCAGGCAAGGGATCTACTAAGCTACAGCACCAGCTTGTCAAACCTTATGGATGAGAAAACTGAGGCTCAAAAATGTTAACTGAGGTTCAATACAGAGACTTATTTAATATCATACAGCTGTTAAGATTGTTGTACAGTTTAGCTTTCTTGTTAACTACTATATTCCACTTCCACTAAACAATCTTACTTTAGTAAGCAATCTGTCATATCAATAAAACTAATGTGAGAGCCACAAACCCATCTCTGGGGACTCACATTTGGATAGGTAGTTGATCAAAAGGCAAATCAAAAACATTTGTCAGTCAAGCTAAGAAACAAGATTTCCATTGCTTTTCTAACTGTAACCTTTGAAACAAGAGAAAATAGGAGAGGTGACTTTCTTGTTAGCTCCTCCAGCCTCAGTCATGCTGAGACCAACAGTCAGTCCCAGGGCTTCTATCCACCTCATTACCATTCTAATTTGCTTTAGTTGAATCCACATAGGGTATTAGGGTCTTCTTTTTTTATTTTCCTACTCTAATAAACAGCCTTCAGATTAAGGGGAAAAGGATAAGAGCAGCTTATTTTAGTAAAAAAGAACCAAGAAAATTGGAACACTGGAAAGCCAAATCTTGCTGAGTCTGTACTGTTTAGCAATAACACACCCATGTCTTACGGAGGCCCAAGGACTCTTCTAAGAAAATCTGGATGGGGTGACAATGGGCAGGAGGCCAGGGGCTCCAGTGAAACAACAGCAGGATGGTGAGTGGGTCTATCTTCACTAGACATATTTAAATGCAAGAGGAAGACAGGAAAAAGTGTCAGGCTGGTCAGGGATGACATCTAGAAATGACACTTGAGTGTGACACTACAAAACTGCGCCTGCTGAGTTCAGCAGGCGCCTTCCTAGACTCTTTCAAAAAGCCTCACAAAGGCCTTCAAAAGAGCAATTTATGCTGGCTACAGAAAATCTGGGAAATATAAGCATATTAGCCTTTTCAATGCATGTACACATTTTAAAAACATTTGAGTGCTGTACATACTATTTTAAAGTGGTTTTTCTCAGTTAACATTAAGGATTTCTTCTATTTATTAAATATGCTTTAAAAATGTGATTTGTTTTTACACGATCGTTGGTATAATTTCATTAAATAAGCCCCTTTTGTTTGACAATTTTGTTTCTAGTTTTGCATTCTAAATTTCAGATAGAGGTAGAACTGCTAGGTCAAATTATCACCTTTAAAAAAAAAAAAAATCAAATATGTCCTTTTTTTGGTACCGGGGACTGAACTCAGCACCTTGCACTTGTGAGGCAAGCAGTGGCACCACTGAGCTAAATCTCCGGCCCTCAAATATGTACTCTTTAAAAAAGATTTTTGATGTAAGCAAAATTAGGAATACAGAAAAACACAAACATAATGGTAATTTCATTATCATTCATATTTTGGTAAACACAATTCCAGGTTCTAAAAAGTATATAAACATTCTGTACAGATTTAGATAACAGTATAGTTTTTAATAGAATTTTCTGCAATAGCATTAAGTATTTCGCCGTATTTCAAGTTGTTCTTGTGACTTGTATGCAGGGACTTTGTACAGTCAAGGAAGGGTGCTCAACTATCATTTGTTGAGAAACAATCTAATCAAGCAACTCCCTGCTACTATATTGAGCTTATTTCAAATTTTCACTTTTATAAATATACTTACACAAACTTTCTCAACAGCTGCTTCGTTTTTGGACTAAGGATTGAACCCAGGCACGGCTTTCATGCTGAGCCACATCCCTGGCCCTTTTTTAAAGTTTTGAGAGAAGAGTATATGTCACTAAAATTGCCCAGGCTGGGCTTGAATTTGCAATCCTCTTGCCTTAGGCTTCTAGGGTGTGAGGATTATAGGGGTGCACCAGTATGCCTAGGTATTCTGTTGTTTAAGGACAGGATCTTGCTATGTAGTCTGGGTTACCCTTGAATTTGCTATGTTGTCCTGGCTGGCCTTGAACTTGTGATCACCCTGCTTCAGCCTGAGTATAGGTGTGGGCCAACACATCCAGCCCTCTAGAAGTGATACTGATTGGGCCAAAGGTACAATATAATTAGGATGGCCATATAATCCATTATCAGACCACTTCTTTGTTTTGTTTTTTTGAAACAGGGTCTCACTATGTAGTTGAGACTAACCTGGAACTATGTAGCCTGGGCTGGTCTCAAACTCACAGCGATCCTCCTGCCTCAGCCTCCAGAGTGCTGGGATTACAGGCGTGCGCCACCACACCCAGCTCAGACCACTTCTAAGAAGACTTAACCTGGGAAAAGAAGACATCAATTTCCTCAGGCCTAAGGTTTGTATCTCTACTCTTCACCCTATATACATCTAGAGTCAGAGAGAAAAGACGGGGAAAGAGAGGCAGGGAAGAAAAGGCAGAGGAAGAGAGGGAGAGGGAGAATGCAAGCTGTGCAAACAGTCTTGCTCACCATCCCATTCAGTGAGCATATTCCCTCCACGGAGACAGGAATCTGCTCTCTTGGCTAGTCTGTTTCCACCTGCTTTTTCATAGCATTAAACACTCCACTTCCTGGAGAGGGGGGCTACTGTTTGGATATTTTGTCAGTCCTGGATCCTAAACACAAGCCAATGCTGATATCCAACTGAAGAAAAAGTACTTTGTTCTTCTAAGGATACACTGTCAGTGCTGGATTTACTAAATGATAACAATGTTGGTTTTACTAAATGATACAATGTGGCTTAAAAATTTAAGGAATTTTCCTAGTGGTAAATTATACACAGTTTTCTTATCAAGGTTACATGTAAGTGATCTGTAATTATTTAAGAAAAAAATTTCCAGGTGTGGTGGAACACCTGATCCCAGCATTCAGGAGGCTGAAGCAAGAGGATTGCTCTGAGTTCAAGGACAGCCTAGGTTATATAGTGAGCTCAGGATCAGCCTTCAATACACAGTGAGGCGGTCCTGTCTCAAAACAAACAAAAACCTACACCATAAGAAGTCAGTACAATGCTGGCAATTAAAAAAAAAAAGAGAGGTGGACAGAGGAGACATGCAGATTCAGCCAGACCTGGCTTCCAGCCAATGTTCCATACAGATAAGTTAGGTAGGACACCTCTAGAGCCCTTAAACTAATAAAACAATTGGCACATCATGGTTCTAAAAAGGAACATCAAATTCCCTTTTAAATATCAAAATTCATCTAGAAAAATGGTGGCACACCTTTTTTTTAATGACTGTGCAAACTATAGTCCAGAGAAATGTAAAGTAGGCTGGCGTGGGGTATAGTGGCTCACGGTGGTGGAGGTCCAAAGAGTAAAAGCTCTTCATACATTTTCCAGGCTGTCATCAGACAAGACAGTAGTGACTGGACTATCAAGGCATGTTCTCTCCTGTGAGATAGCCATGAAGAGTATTCAGGGCAGAGCAGGGTGGTGCTGGGCAGAAACAGCTAGAGGGCTTCAATAGCATGAACGATACAGCAAATACAAAGAGGGAAAAATCTAATCCCAGATACACTAACCCTGGAAGACAGATACAGATCTTTAATTTAAAACCAAGTAAGTTTATTCATGGAGAAAACAGTAACAGAACACCCTTGGGACATTTTTAGTTCAAAAGTGAAAACTGCATTGAAAAACCAAATGGGAGAGTCTGGAGACTTAAATAAGTGTAAGTACTGTTGTTTACTTTCTTCAATTTTCATGTATTTTTCTTTAGGGCAAAAATAATGTCTGTGATTACTTTTTTTCAAGGCAACAAGATTTCCAGTTCTATTGTCTTCATGTGCATAAAATTTATCTGCACAGCCAGAGAAGATGCAAGAAAAGATCAAAGGATTTGATGACAGCAAAGTAATTCTAATGGCTGCTTCATGGAATCACAATTTTACCACAAATTGCCAGCTGCAGTGGATGGCTGGAGTGGGTAACATATTGCCGTTAATAAAACCTGAGGTATGTAGACCCCACAGACATGTAAACGCATATTTACCTTCCTCGGCTGCAACGGCAGAGGCCGAGAGGGCTGTGTCCTTCCTTGATATGATCACACACTACTCCAAGTTACCTAAATAGGACTGGACCATGTCAAATGCTTCTCTGAGCAAGGTGTGATCAGTTTAGTCTCTGGAATGGGTTCCAAGGCAACAGTGTGACCACGATGAGCTCTTACATGTTTGATCTGGGTTCATCATGTTGGTAGGAGAGTCCATGGCACTAGAAGACACCCGCCCGAGCAGCAGAAGGGGACCTCCAAGTCTCAGCTGTCAAGGTTTAACCTGGCCCGTTTTACGTGGCTGTTCTGGTCATCCAGATGGCAGAAATCTGGGGTAACATCTCTTTTTTGCTCCTCCACCGGTTCCAAAGGGAAGTCCTGACCTGTGGCCAGTACCTGTCTGACTGTCATGTTAACGCGAGCAGTCCTCAAGTAGCTGGCACACACCTGCCAATCCTCTGAAGAACAGGGCTCTACCACTGCACCATGGGGGAGGACAGCTGGGAGTGGCGTCTCCAGGCAGTGAGGCAGGCCTTCTCCCTCAGGATTTGGAAGGACTCGAGGAACAGCATGGTTCAACAGGCGGCTGGAACCTGACATTACCATAATGTCACCACTGTGCATAAACATGGCTGTGGGGGCCTCATCTCTTTTGAGGCCACCCAAGAGAAAGATGGCAGACTGTCCGAAGCTACAAAAAAAAAGAAAAAGAAAAAAAAAGAAAAAGAAAAAGAAAAAGAAAAGAAAAAGAAAAGAAAAAAAAGAGAAAAAGTAAAATGGAAGTTTGTTATAAACCAGTTATGAAAGTTGCCAACTGAATTATTTTGTAATTTCAGCTTGACATATTGCTTCCAAATCCTCATTTTTAAATTGGGCTAAGTGCTTTCTCTATGTCTCTGAGTGACCTATCTATGACCTGCCAGCTACAAGTCTGACAACCCACAGACTGTCTGCAGAGCAAAGCTTGATGCAGTAAAATAAGCAAATGAAGAACTGATTTTTAACACTGTCTATGTAAGTTTTATTGATGTATCTTTTAAAATTTCAGTCTTGCAATAAAATTGTAGGAATCATTCACTTATGTATTTTATTCCTTTAAAGATAAAGGCAATTAATAAGGGGCACGCATTTCTTGAGATACTGGTGCAGTACTCTGCACAAACTGAAACTGATGTTTAGGGAGACAAGGAGAAAGTTTTCAGGCTTTTGTGTTTTGCTCTATATTTTGTTCTACTATTCCAAAAGGTTGCTCACTTTACTTTAAGGCCTTCCATTTGTCTATTACACAGAGCACTAACAATACCTTTCATCACAAACCACATACTCCATGGGTCTTAAACAGAAACAGTAAATGTAATTTGGTCATTACTTTTTTTTTTGGTACTGGGGATCGAACTCGGGTCCTTGCACTTTCGAGACAGGTGGCCGCACCACTGAGGTAAACCTCTGATCCATGGTCATTACTCTTAAGAGCTTAGAAAGACCTGTCGTGTAAAGGTACAAGATCCCAATAATGAATGCAACTGTACTGTATACCTAAAATGTACCAATAAACTCAATGAGGAAAAAAAAAAAGGCTACTTTTACTTTATGATATACTGTTAATGTGCCCAGAAGTGAAAGACTTCAGAGCTATTTAAAAAAATTCATGTCTTTATTTTAAACTTTAAAAAAAATCAATGGGAAAAAGAAAAAAATAATAAAAAGCAACCCAGAATCCCTGGAACTAACTTACCTGAATGACAACAGGGGCCTGGAATGATCCAGTTCAGATCTGTCTACATGGATGCCCAGTGTGGAGTCTAAGCGGTAGTAATTCAGGATGCCTGCTTCGGCTCGGAAGCCCTGAAACCCACAGGCAGCAGCTACTTGCTCTGAGAGGAAAGCCAGGTCAGAAGGGAAAGGTGTATAATGATCTGCTGAGTACTTCTTTGATAAAAGTAGGGAAAAATAAAGAAAAATAAACAACGATCTCAGGAACATGGGAAACTGGCATATGAATAATTACCACTTTAAAATCCTCTAAGTTACCAAACAGTATGAAATACAGGGTGTCTACCCATCATCTACTTTTTTATTTTTTTTACAAGGTTGAGAATCAAACACAGGGCCTCATGTATACCAAGCAAACATTCTACCCTTGCTTGGAACCCCATCATCCATTCTAACAATGAACTACTCAAGATATTGAGCACCTACTAAACAATAGGCACCACGCAGTGCACAAATTCATACTTCACGAAGCCTACACATGAATGGTATAAACCATTTTCTAGTACACTTAAATCCTGCTTAAAAAGGCAACTCAAAACTGTTGCTGTCAAGATACCTAAAGAAATATGTCTAAATGTAATGTAGTATCCTGGATGAGATTCTGAAACAGACGTATATGAGCTAAAAACTAAGGAGCTCTGATGAAGTATGGACTTCACTGTTATAATGTTCTATTACTATTGGTTCATTAATTGAGACAGAGGTACCATACTAATCAAAGATGTTAATAAGTAGGGGAAACTGGGCATAGCATCTTGCTATACCATCTTCTCAACTCTTCTGTAAATTTAAAACTATCCTAAAATAAAAAGCTTGTTAAAATAGCAACTCAAATACTATAGCCAGCCTGCATCATGGCTTAATACCAATTTCAGAGATCAACCCAATAAAATGACATGCTTAATACATCTGAATTAAGTTTGACTTATACCATGGCTAAGGCAGGGCCTTAAAATGGAAATATTTTCAGCACTTACTTCCCTAAACTCCTTCTGTTTTTACCATTTAAGGATTATAAGTGCCCCCACCCAATAAACAAACGTTAAAACACTCTCTAAAAGATCTGAAGAGATCCAATGTAATTCGCAAAACTAAAGATAGAGATCATAAAAGTTCGCTCTATCACTTTAAGCTTTAGTTTCTTAGAAGATTAACCTGTCTGGGTGGCTATTCTAGTTCTAGACAGCTTGTGGTATAATGGAATAATTAGCTTTTTGGCATTTCAACCCTAACCAAACTATCTATGTATTTTTTAAAATTGTATACTATATTTTGTCCAACGCCTCCCTCAACTTTCACTATTTTGATTATTCAGAAATTTTGGTAATTTTCACTTTCCATTTTCTTAGCAAAAAAGGATATCTGTGCTGGGCGTGGAGGTGCAAGCCTGTAATCCCAGCACTCGGGAAGCTGAGGCAGGAGGATCGCTGTGAGTTTTGAGACCAGCCTGGGCTACATAGTGAGTTCCAGGTCAATCTCAACTACATAGTGAGACCCTGTCTCAAAAAAAACAAAAAACGAACCAAAACAAACAAACAAAGGCTAACTTTGAGGTCCTTAAAAATAATATGAGGAAGCCGGGCGTGGTGGCACATGCCTGTAATCCCAGCACTCAGGAGGAAGAGGCAGGAGGATATCTGTGAGTTTGAGACCAGCCTGGGCTACATAATGAGTTCCAGGTCATTCTCAATTACATAGTGAGACCTTGTCTCAAAAAAAAAAAAAAAAAAAAAAAAAAAAAAAAAAAAAAAGGGCCGGGAATCTAACTCAGTGGCACCATGCCTGCCTTGTAAGTGAAAGGTCCTGAGTTTGATCCCTGACACCAAAAACACAACGCTACCCCCAAACAACAACAAAAAACCCAGTATCAAATAAAATATTAAAAACAACAGCTACCTTTTTTTTTTTTTTTTTTTTTTTTTTTTTTTTTTTTGGTATCAGGGATTGAACTTGGGTCCTTGCACTTGCAAGGTAGGTGGTAGAACCACTGAGCTAAATCCCTGGCCCAATAGCCAACTTTTTTTTTTATCTGCTAATGCATATAACTGCTTAGAACAATCAGGCACTAGAATAATCACTTAATTCTCACACATACTTTATGAGACAGGCATTATCATTACTGGAAGCAGGAATCAAACCTAGACTACCTCAAATAAAATCACCTGGCCACTTCCCTAAACACAAATACCTTGTTTAATATGTATCCATGAAGATAAGAATTATATTGTAAATATTTTTAAAGCAACACTAGTCATTAATTGGATGTTAATGTTTATCATTAAGTTGCTTGCTAAAGAAACAGACCCTTTAGCAGAGAAGATGGTCTCTACCAGTTTGTTTTACTCAGATTATCCTTAGAGTTAGGCCACCCACTTGGTGGCAAACAACTCACTGCGAGGAGAAGCACTATGCTGCTAGTAACAAAAGATGCAGTTTTTTGAAGTATAGAAGATAAGACGTTGTAGCTCAAGAAAACCTGGAACTTTCTTAATTGTAGGAAATTCATTCCCACCCTTCTCCCAGCCAGGCATTTATCTGGCAGCTCCTGGCAGCTAAAGCTATCTGGATCTTGAAAGTTCATTCTCTTTCGCGCTTTTTTTTTTTGATCATTTTCAGACAGATTCTCACTATGCAGTCCAGGTTGGTCCTGAACTATGTAGTTGGCCTCGGACTTGAAGAGATTCTCCTGCTTCAGCCTCCTGAGTGCTGGAATATAGGCATGTGCCACTGCACCCATCCGAAAGTACACTCTAAGAATACTCTTAATTATGCATGACTTCTTTTATTCCAAGCAGATAATATAATGTAAAAAAAAAAACTGCTCAATAAACTAAACAATAATGGAAATAAAGATAACTGAGAATTACTTTTGAAAGCAGTAAAGAGAAATCTCTGATAGACTTTGAGAAAGCACTGATGACTCTAGATAACTCCACGGTGTATGCAAAAATTTTCTCTTGATAAATTATTTATTCCTTTTGAGATATATGAAGAGAGCTTTCTAAAACAGAATAGGTGAAAGAGATCCTTTCACTTTGTCTTTGCTATGGTAATGATACTTGAAGCTTGACGACACACCTACACACACACCAAGTTGGCCCAAAAACCACATAAATGGAAAACAAGTGAATTTAGAAAAGAAAATGAAATACCTTACTGTCCCAGTTATAATGGTAGCCTAGGGTCACCCAACGCAGTTTCTCTAATAAACTTCGAGGTCTCCGTTTATTCACTTCTTTATACCTGCAAAGATAGGCAACAAAAGAGGATTTATTAATCTTAAATGGCAGCAATAGCCCTTTGTACATCTCTGGTGTCTAAATTTAGTATTCCACAGTATAAGCCAAGCCAAGGCTTGGTAGGGAAACGAGAACAGAAAATTGAGTTGATCAAGAATACAGTTATAAGCCGGGCGTGGTGGCGCATGCCTTTAATCCCAGCACTCGGGAGGATGAGGCAGGAGGATCGCTGTGAGTTCGAGACCAGCCTGGGCTACATAGTGAGTTCCAGGTCAGTCTCAACTACATAGTGAGACCCTGTCTCAAAAACCAAAAACCAAACCAAACCAAACCAAACCAAACAAAAAAAAACACCCCCCCCAAAAAACAACAACAACAACAAAAAAAGAATACAGTTATGGTAAAAAAAAGTCTCTAGCATCTCAATAATGATCAAACAAGGATAATAGGGAAAAATATGACAACAGGAATGTCTTTACCTGTCAACGGGAGATGAGACCAGGAGCGCTATGGTCAATGGAAAATAGGGCTAACAATATGTTCATGTGCTGAAAGGGGGGCATGATTAATCACAGTTATTACTACATCTATAATAATGGTAGTTTCTCAGAATTGCAGGTTGGGGGAAAACATTTGGCAAAATATAGTATATAATAAATAACTGGTTTAGCATGACTTCCCCGACCCTGTGTAACATAACTTAGATAATTGAAGCTCAGCTAACAAGGTACCACTCAAATGATTTGGTTTCTGCCATTCCATTGTTCAAATCACAGGAAGTTTCAGCAAAAAGAGAGGTGGCCTTTCTGCAATTTTATTATTACTGATTTAATCTATGGGATTAATATTCTTCTATAGAGGAAGACTGGTTCATCTCTAAATTTAATCTGAGTATTAATTTTATTTAGTTAAGTTTTCTCTGTATAATTTACACCATTAACCAAATCTATGTATGCATTTGTTTGAAATAGGGTCTCTCTATGTAGCCCAGGACCAGGTAAAAATTATTTTTGGGGTACTGGGGATTGAACCTAGGACCTTGTGCATGTTGGATAAGCACTCTAGGGCAGTACTATATCCTTAGCCCTGTTCATTTTATTTTGAGACAGGGTCTAGCTAAGTTGCTCAGACTGGTTTCAAACTTGTGATCCTCTTGCCTCAGCCTCCCAAGCGCTGAGAGGGTGTGTGCTACACACCTAGCCTCAAAGTAGTACTTCAATACTGGTGTAAAGCTTAGTACCAAAGTGAAGAGCACAGACTTTCAGTGTTACCAGAATTAAGAAAAAGGTGGGCAGGTATTTAGCTCTGGTGCCGCCCACTGCCTTGAAAGCACAAGGTCCTGAGTTCGATCCATGGCACCACACCCACACCCACATGAGAGAGAGAGAGAGAGAGACAGCGAGCGAGCGAGCGAGAGCGCTCACAGTCAGCTGTCTAATCAGTAATCAGTTAAGGCTTCATGGTAGAGCTGGGAGTTGCACCAGAGAATGGCCAGCATTTAAAGAAGCAGTGATGCAGTAGGCAACATGGCTGCACTGAAGAGCAAAAGTGAAGGCCCACACTGTCAGTGGCACTCATCTTGATGTCTGACAAAGAATTTAGAATAGATGCTATCTTTTCTGAGTTTACATTCTAAGGACATCATCACAGACATATATCAAGACCAGCAGATACAAAGAATGGAACAAACAAAATATTGATTTATTTAAGACATGTGAAAACAAGACATAAAGCAGATTTGACTGCTAACCTTACAAGAATGATCCTTGAACAGCATCTGCAACCTGGACTTTGGTGGGTTCACACAGTTCCCCAAACTGCTAAGAGTGGCTCACTGTACCTCAACTGTCTGTACAAAACTATGGCTTATGTTGAGTTTCTGACTTCCTTCTAGTGTCTAGATTTATACATCAGAAAATGCTGCTTCCATGACCAGACTCTGATGAAAACCTGGGCAATGAATTTCTCTGGCAGACACTTCACAGAATGGTTACAGCTCACTGCTAGGAGGATTAAGCACATCCTGTGTGACTTCACAGAAGTCTGCACCTGATTTTCCCTGTACTTTTGCTCCATGTGCCTTTTCCCTTTACTGATTTTTGCTGCTTTCACTGTAATAAATCTTATCTGGGAGCATAACTATATGCTGAAGTCCATGAGTATTCCTGGAAAATCACTGAACTTGGGTGCGGTATTAGGGACCTGCAACCTAACAGGAGACAGTTGACTAATAATTTAGAGAAAAGACATGTAAGGCCTGGCCAGTTACTGACACTACTTAATCTAAACAACGGCAACATAACAATATGGATAATATCCATATAATATTTAATATTCAAGCTACATAATGTAGTTATTAATACAACCTACGTTCTACCAATGTTTATTCAGCTAAAGGTACAAGCTCCTTGATTTACTCTTCCATGGAACATTTTCCTTCAGCAGCCTGATAAAAAAATAACCTCTTATTTCCGGACCTGTGGATTTTGTTAATAGAAAATTTCTGTACCCAACTCCTTTATTTAAAGGTAATCAATCTCAGGTAGAAAGGCTGCTGACAATTTTATGGATACTGGAGGATTTTCAAAGGGAAGGCTGAAGTCAGTGGGGAGAACACTGGAATCCAGTACTGAGTACAGAACATTCCTGAGTTTTATTTGGTCAAGAGAGGAGCTGTATAAAAGCTTCTACAGAATCCATGCACCCTAGTTTTTCTTAGTGGTGTGGCGGTGAATGAATGACACATGTGCCACAGTTGCTGTTTGTTATCACTATCACAACTCTATGAAGTTGGCCATCACTGGCCCGGTGGTTCTAAAACTTTAATGTGCTTTGGAAGCATTTATAGGGCTTATTAAAACTCTGATGGTTGGGCCTGCATCTACAGACACTGATTTAATAGGTTTGATGCGGGGCCCAACAATCTAAATTTTTAACAAGTCCCTAAAAGACACTAATGCTACTAGTCCAGGTGTCACAGTGAGACCCACTAGTCTAGCCAAAATGAAAACAAAACAAAGCTTCTATCTCTTTCTAGCTCAGTAATAGATTTTATTCTTTTTTCCTTTATGGTACTGGGGTTTGAACCGAGTGCCTTGCACTTCCAGCCCCATAGCATTTTATTCTTGACAAAGAATCCATACTATTATGGCAGAACCAGACAACCTCAATCATAAAGATAATAATAATGAAGATCTGAAATAATTCAAAAAAGAACATTTCTCTTTTACCTTAACTATATCAAGTGCTGCTTTTTCCCCCCCTGGTACTGGGGATCGAACTCAGGACCTTGCACTTACCAGGCAAGCACAGTGCCACTGAGCTATATCCCTGGCCCTTTTTAAACTATATCAAATGGAGAAAGGCTGTGAGTTCTGCCTTATGTTACAGAGGTAGAGTGGTACAAAGATGTAACAGAAGCTAGTCTTACTTTCAAATGTATTAAGCCTAGACCTCATAATAAAATATATTTACTTAAAAACTTGCTTTGTGCAAGAAAAGCTGTGATCTTTGAATGTCTGTGTCATTCTGAGGGGAAAAAACACAAATATCTTGTGTAAGGCTTTAGTCACATAGGTGTAAGATTCCACTCTTCATTTCATATTCTTTTCTGAAAACATGATTTTAATTTTTACCATTGTGTTTGCTGGAAGCAAAGTAGCAACAATTGTGAACATTTGTCTTTAATATGTGAGAGACCAACCAACCTTATGTATTTCTAGTCTTAGTACTACCCTACTGTATTTGTGTGTGTGTGTGTGCGTGTGTGTGTGTGCGTGTGTGTGTGTGTGTACTGTGGTCAAACTTGGGACCTTGTGCTTGTGAGGCAGGTGGTGGAACCACTGAGCTAAATTCCCAGCCCAAGATCCCTCTCATTTCTATGGGTTTCTTGAATAACAAAGATTCCAAAAATTCCCCCTTGAATTTGCACATTGTAAGACCATATTTAACATGTTCCTAGATAATTTTCAAGCATAAAACAATGAGGAATCACTGAAGTGGGTGTGCTCTTCTCTTTTTAAGATAAATTTTCCAAAAGAAGACAAAGGACCATTGTTAATGGAGGTCCCATATCCACCTGGAACATGGTGCAAAGTATGTTGGCACCTAACATTACTTTAAATCTTTACCCAGTTGTCCAAAAGAATGTTTCCAAGAATGAATGACTCTCATTATTGGTTCTCCAAGAAAACACAAACATGCTACACTTCCTGTCTTTTTTTCCAGGCATCAGTAGGATGATAGTTGGATGGGCTGGCTACCATTTCCCCTGGTGAATGTGCTTATGCAGCAGTTTGCTCATTTTCTCTCATGGATAAGTGCATCATGTAATATGGCATTTTTCTCAGCAATCGTGTTCTATAGCACTGCTTCCTAACTGGGTGGAAATGAACTAGTCTGCTCATCCACTCCTTGTACAGTGGGCAGTCTGGGTGCCATAACCAAGCACTGGTATTTCTCTTTCTTGCAAGGAACATTAGTGATTCACTGGGAGGCAAAATTATTTAGGACAGAATAAAGTCTGAAGAGCTACGATAAAAACCTTCAAAGTCCTACATAGGTATTTTTTTTTCAATTATTTTTAAGGCTTGGGAATTGTCTTTCACAGCTGTTATGGTCTAGGTCTAAAATGTCCCTCAAGTCTCATGTGTTTGGAGGTGGGACCTGGTAAGAGGTGAGTCAGAGGGCTGTGACCAAGCAGGATGTATTCTTGACCCTGGCTCCTCTCTGTTCTCTATTTTCTGGCTGCCAAGAGGTAAGCAGCGATCAATCCACTATTCCTTTCCACCATGCCATTTTTTGCCTTGGAGCCAGCTGAACATGGACTGCATACCCCACAACTGTGAGCCAATTAAACTTCTCCTCATTTAAGTTGACAGAGTTGGGTATTTTGTTCCAGTGATGGGAGAGTGACTAACACAACAACAGCTCTGAATATTTCCCTCCAAGACCAAAGCTTTGTTTCTTCCTTTTTCCTATTTTCTTATTTCCACTGAATCTGAACTTCAATTTCCTATCCCTAGAACCCTATTCTTTCTCTTAGAAATGAGATTAGTGAGGTGGCCAGGGGTTGTTACCACCTAAGTTTTGTAGGCTGTGGGAAAGATTTTAGATTTTTTAAAAAATGTGACAGTGTCGTACAATGAAGAATTTGGCTGACCTTTGTCTCTGGTTTTTGGAAGGGAGCTTCTAAACCCTTGGGATTTCCTGAATGATAGGAGTTACACCATTAATCATGGTAGATCCAAAGCACATACTCCTTGAGTTTATGCTAATCAGATGATTCAGGATGTGGGGTGCTCACACTAGAAAGACCAATCATGTGAGCAGAGGACTGGGGTTTTACGATGTGTATTAAGAGTACCTCCAAAATGGGTGGGGGACTGTAGACCGAAATCAATTATGTGGCTAATAGTTCAATTGATTGTGTCTAATGAAACTCCAGTAAAAATTCTGGATGCTAAGGCCTAGGAAAGATAAGTGGTTGGTGAACATACCAATGTGCTGGAAGAGTGACATGCCACGATTATATAGGAAAGAGGGCCTTGCCTCATGTGTCTTCATCTGGCTGGTCCTAATTTATATCCTTAAGGTAAAGCTGTATCATAAGTATATGCTTTTCTGAGTTCTGGGAATTGTTCCAGTGAATTACTGAACATAAAGAGGTCATGAGTCTGCTCTCAACTTATAATCACTGGTCATAAGTGTGGTTATCCTGGAGACCAGTATCTGAAATGAGGGTCATGTTAGGGACTGTGCCTTGAACTTATGAAATCTATGTTAACTCTAGATGGTATGCATCAGAATTGAACTGCAGATAGTAAGCTGTAAGAAAAATGACAAAAAACTTGAACACTCCACGTACAGAACTGACTGAGAGTAAGAGCGGCCTCTAGGAGATGGGATAAGAGGACATTACAGTGTTCTGTGGGAAAGACATGACGGTGGCTTAGACTAATGTGGCTGGGATAGAAATGTTCAGAAATGACTGAATTTGTTCTAACTCTAAAGCTTACTATATTTACAAGAGGTCTGGATTTAAGCTTTTTTTTGAGACAAGGTCTTGCTACGTAGTTCTGGCTGGCCTTGCACTATGTATCCCAGGCTGGCCTTGAACTTGCAGCAACCCTCCTGTGTCAGCCTCCTGAATGCTGGGATTACTGGTGTGTGCCACCACATCTGGATCAGATATAAGGTTTTTTAATGGCTTCACAGTGGCAACATTCTACTGCAGGGATATACTACACTTGATTAATCAGGGCTCCCATGGATAAACACTTAAAATGTTTTCTATTATTCTTTCTGTTCTAGATAAGGCTGCAAGGAAGATGCTTGCATCTGAACTGTGTACTCTTTGCAAGACTCTAGCTACACGACTCACTCTGAACTCAGAACAAAACACAGATCTGAAATGACCTAAATTTCCTATTTTTTTTTCTAAATTTAAGTATTTATTTCCTATTTAAAAGAGCTACAGAATTCTAAGAATTAAAAGTGTGAAGATCCTGAGAAGTCCTCTTGTTCCTGGTTCTTAACGTGGGAAGATGTTACAGTGGATATTCAGAATCTCCACAGGCACCTTTTGGTATTTTTCATTTTAGTTTTGTTTCTGTAGTACTCAGGATTGAACCCAGGGAAAGTGCACTGTCCACATCCTGTCTACATTTTTTCTTCTCTTTTTGAGACAGGGTCTCTTTAAGTGGCTAAATTGCCTAAGTTCAAATCCTGGGTTTGAACAAGTGATCCCCTGTGTAAATCTGAGAGAGCTGGGATTACAAATGTGAGCCTCCACGCCTTTTCTTTCTTTCCTTCCTTTCCTTTCTTTCTTTTGAGAGAAGGTCTCACTTTATAGTTCAGACTGACCTTGATCTCACTATGTAGCCTAGGCTGGCCTGGAACTCGGAGTGATTCTCTTGCCTCAGCCTCCCAAGTGCTGGATTACAGGTGTGAGCCACCATGCCTGGTTTTGAAAGAAACCTTTAAAAAAAAACAGACCATCTCCATCTCTGACAGAGTCTGGGAAAGTGGTAAGGGCTACATGTATCGTCCGTAAGATTCCAAGTGACCATAATTGAATCACTTCGAATAGCTTATTTTAGTACCTTCACTTCTCAAGTGAGAAAACTGAAACATGTAACACAGTGACAGAGCAAGAACTAGAGACCTAATAGATTTTCAATGCCTCCAAGCACAACATCTAAGCACATCAATTTCTCCCAGTCTTTGACAACATAAAGTATGACCATCACATTTTTACTTTTGCTAATTTATTAGACAAAAAATAAAGTATCTCACTACTGTCTACAGGATGATTTATTACAGAGATCCATCTGAGCTATCTTAGAAGACAGCTGGGATTTCTACAGTCATACATCAGGAGGGAAAAATAAATTACTTGAAAACACAGTCTGGTTTAATAATCATTAGCTCTTTTTTTGTTTCTGTTTTGGCACCAGGGAATGAACTCAGGGCCTTGAGCTTGTGAGGCAGGCAGCAGCACCACTGAGCTAAATCCCCGGCCCCACCGCTAGCTCTTTTTTAACTAATTAAATCATGATCTTATTTACTTCGCTTTCAATTCTAGAGAAGGCATTATAAAACGCTGAAGAATATAGTTTTCCTTGTTGCTCCTGCCTATACTGTACCTAAAGATCTAAGAAGGCTTTAAAGGAAACAATGAATCTTAGTTCTCTCATTCAACTTAATAAAATCTACTTCTTTTGTCAGAATCGTGACAATTTCTAAAAACTGCACCATTAGAGCCACTTAAGACTACACAGGACAGAAAGTTGGTAAAATGATTTTAACTGGCACTCTTCTAAGGACTTTTCATATATTACCTTGTTTAATTTCCATACTATTGAATAAAGATAGGACAGTTAGGAGGGACACAAAGGTTAAGAAAATTGCTCACAATTAAACAGTAAGTGGCAGAGCCAGGATCTGAACTCAGGCAACATGACTCCAGAACTGTTCTACGTCACTGTTTGTACATGTATGGCCTATAATCCATCTTTCCCGATTCACGTTTTCCCTACCATACCCCTAATTTCCAGGAGGCATTTCCCAAATTCTAAACCCAACCTAGTCACACAAGTAACTATTCCCATTATATCCTAACTCTAAACTTGTACCTGCCAAGTTATATTTAGTTATCTGTTTATATGTCTCTGTCCTTGATTAAGCAACAGATTTCTTGGATAGAAACTACTTACCTGTCTTTGAGTCTTTTTCAAGCATAGTGTCTGACACATGTCAGAAACCCAGGAGGTATCTGCTACATAAACACATGAACGCACACATCCTGAGCTCTCAACCTAGCAAACAATTTATTCTGTCTTAAATATCATCTCTCTGCTTAGGTTGCTTTCTCTTCAGGTTAACTTTCCCACCTTCTCCTTTCTCCTCTTTCTTGCAATGCTAGGGACTGAACCAAGGACTCATGGGTGTTAGGCAAGTGCTCTACCATGGAACTACACCCCTGGCCAGCCTTTCTGCTTTTCTGATTGGTAAATCCATACTCATTTTTGAAGATCAGTCCAAACAGACAAAGAAAAAGAGGTTAAGAGACTCGATTAAAAAAGCCACTTTTTTTCCTTTGACAACTCTACCCTGCCTTTCTTCCTGTGCTCAGCATTTTTCTAACGTCCACCACACCAGTGTCTGAGTTCCATTGTAATTATTCTTGAATTTCTACCATAAGCTATTCATTCAAGTACAGGGAGAATGTCCCATTAAGCTTTTTGTTTCCAAAGTCTAGCATCACGTCTGATCTACAACTGACCACCAATAAGTATCAGAAGCGGAAAAAATAAATAACTTGAAAACATAGTCTGGTTCAAGAATAAGGTATACAGTATTATTGTGAAATGAATGAATGCTGAAACAGCATGAAGATACTGTACAAATATTTGTTGTTCTCCCATGAGGAACAATTGACCTATCATAAAACAGCTGGTATCATCAACTCCATCTGAGAGAGTAGAAGAGTCAGCAGTGATATTTTTTCCTAGGATACCACAAGCCTTCAAAAAGAGCTCGCTTTAAGTGGAAAAAGTGTTGAAGCTGACTAAAAATGGATCTCATGATTAATGTGGATGAACTCAATATCTTCGCTATGATAAGCCAATCTTTAAAATGGATCTCAGTTTAATATAACTGTCAAAGCATCTGTCTAAACATTCCCGGGGAAAGAAAAACAATTGTATTGTGTGTGGAAATGAGGGGGAAAAAAACCCCCCAGATAGCCACTTTCACTTCACTGTTATAGAACAGTTTCTTCAAAGATCAGCAATGATGTGAGCTATTAACACTTCATTCAGACTGGTAAAGACTTACCTTAGGAACTCTTTGCTTTGTTCCCACAGGTCTCGGGGCTCTTCTTTAGTCATGTGCTTGTCTAGGTTACATACATTGGGTTTCTGGGAGTATAGCTTAAGGCACTGCTTCACCCAGTGCCACTGATATCCTGGGAGGAAGGGGTTGGGGATAAAAATAAATCCTATACAAAAGATGAGTGCGAAAAAAGGAAAGGGGAAAATTCTTCATTAGTCATTCATATAATTTCTTTTTTTTCTTCATTGAGTTTATTGGTACAATTTTAGGTATACAGTACAGTTACATTCATTATTGGGATCTTGTACCTTTACATGACAGGTCTTGGTTCTCATTTTTTCCCCTCATATAATTTCTTTTTGTTAACATCCTTATATCCTCATTCTGTCATTTGTTTCCCATATCCTTTTGGTTATGATTCAAGTTAATGAAAAGCTAGTAGGGTTTTTTTTTTTGCTCCCATACTGGTGATTGAACCCAGGGCCTTCTTAATGAGTTCTATCCCAGCCCTTTTTTATTCTGAGACAGAATCTAACCAAGTTGTCCAGCTGGGCTAGCACTTTGCCCTCAGGATACTGGGATTATAGGCATGTACCACAGTACCTGGCTGAAAAGATAGTAAGTTTTGATGAACATTAGACACCTATACTTATGGAATTATCTTTGGATTTTCTTGTTATTCTAAAGGGAAACAAACATTTTCCAAAGTTATCTTTCAATTGTGTTAACCTCAAGCAAGCCTTAGAACTTAATGTCAAAAGTCTACTCTCTCATTTTCACAAGTGTAACCATTCAGAGTCATCCAGAGCCAGGTGTGGTGTACACACTGGTAATCTCAGCATTCAGGAGGCCACGCAAGATAGGAGGATATTGGGCTATCTATTGAGTTCAAGGCCAGTCTAAACTACAAAACAAGAACCCGTCACACCAAAACAAAACAAGGTCACCCAAGACCTCTTTATTTTACTTACCACAGGAACAGTACTCTGAACTCTTATATTAAATTTAACTAAAATATACATTTAAAAGTCTTCATCTAATGAATGGACCACTAGTTATTAATCTGTTTTGTCTCTTGGCATCAAATTGATCCTTCTGTATTTGGATTCACAATGTGAGGTTAGGACCTGCAAACTAAATTTCTTTGCCAGCTGGCTCCTTGTTAACCTATGCCCACACAGGACACTAATGGATGACTAGAGTGTAAAAGGTGGTTCTTATGTAGCCTTGCCATACCACTAGAACCAGTCTATCTCCTTTCCTCATATTTTTAAGTCTGGGAGCTGGCAATGTAGTTCAGTGGCACAATGTTTTGCCTACCAGCTGTGAGGTCCTGGGTTCAATCCCTAGCACTGCCAAAAAAAAAAAAAAAAAAAAAAAAGAAAAAAAAAATCTAAGTCCTACATCCATGTGACCCCTCTTCCAAGCTCCTACATTTAATAATCTCAAACTGTTTTCACACTCTACTATAGGGATGGTAGCCTTCTCCTACAGCTGGTACCTCTATGATACTTCAGTGTTCCCTTTTTCTTTTGAGTTTTAAATATTATAATAATTCTCATTATGTTGTTAAATAATTGGTGATGTCTGCTTCCTAGACTAAGCCTTGACGAGTAGAGAAGATGATACGATGTAAATAACTACATAGCATGTATAATGAACAGATATTTGTGACTGATAGTTAAGACACCCTCATTTTTCTTCTCTGTAAAAGATGAATAAAATATTTAAATAGAATCCTATTCATGGTAGTCATTTATTCATAAAACATTCAACAAACATATACTATGTACCAGACACTTTATTAAGAATTAAACAGATGGAAAACTTAGAAGAAAGTATAAGTCCCCGGAGATAGAACAGTAGAAGGGTTACATCAGTAGTCCTTACAGAAGCCTGGCTACAGTGGAAAACAAAAGCTGAGGAGTCATACATGAATATAGAATTAAGAGGGGAGTTTAAGATTTTCGTGGATTTGTAAGACCTAAGCATGCTTACAGGCTGTGAAAGAGAACGTAATGAAGAATTGACTGCAAACAGAGGAAAGGAACAGTGCAAGGTCCTGAAAGAGATAAAATGTGAGATCATCGTAAAGGGTATAGCTCTGAAATGAAAGAATTTCTCTCCTGCTATGATTGGAGGATGAGAAGGAGAACATTTGCTTGTGGGGACCACTGAAAGATGAAAGGGTTTTTGCCCGATAGACTCAGTTTTCCTAATCCAGTAAAGAGCAAGGCCATCTCAGCAAATACAAAGCATGGTTGGGAAAGGATCCTGAAGAACAAATAGAAAACAATAAAATTACACAAAAGGCAATCATTATCTGCTAGTGTAAAGTCCCCTTGCCAAGGGATACTAAAAACACATGACAAGAATGCTTAAGGTTATCTGAGTTAAATGCAGGCAGTGATATACAGACCTAGATGAGGCTAGCAAACTTTTTTTTTCGGTCAAGAGCATGAAAGTAAATATTTCAGGCTCTGGGGATTATTTGGTCTCTTTAGCACTCAACTCCTCCAGTGTAGCAGGAAAACAGCCACAGATAATAAGCAAACAAATAGGTATGGCTGTATTCCCATAAAACCGTGTTTACCAGAATTTCAAATTACATGAAGTTTGGCAGAAAGGAACTTTGGCTGATATGACAGAAAACATACAGAAAATAACCTGAAGATTTCTCCACTATTCTAAATCATACTAAAAGCACCTAAAATTCTCATATGTCTAAGGGCCTGTGATTTAGCTTAATGGTGCCACCACCTGCCTTGCAAGCTCAAGGACCTAAGTTGGATCCCTGGTACTAAAAAAATTCTCGTTTGTCTAGATTCTTACAGATATGGAAAAAAATACAGATAGCTTACAGATGTTCACTGAGGACAGGGTGGTCACTGCAGTTATTAATCCTGGTTTACCATTTAATATTATCTATAGCATATACTCCAAACTAAGTCTAATGATCAAAGTTATTTACATGTTGGTTCCAAAGAAGTCTCATAGAGAAAAATTTGTATCAACGAAGAAAAACTAAAAGCTATTGGTAGATTTCATTATTGAGGCAGACTGTGCACCAATGCAGCAATAAAAGAGAAAGCCATTAACAGCCTGAGCAATAAACATGCTTACTGGATCAATCAGAGAAATTCATTTCAATAGCCAGCTAGTTTAACCACTTATCTGATTCCTTGTATGTCTTCAAGAAGTAGTATCTACCAGGGGTTGCTACTTTTGCATTTCTTTTAGCAGTTAAATCTTGAAATAATTTGTAAGAGTGATAAGAAAATCAGTATCTGGGGAACAAAGATATCAAAAAAACAGAGGTGACACTTGCCTGTAATCCTTGGAATGCTGTAGCAGGATAACAATTTTAAACCCACCCTGGGCAATTTAATGTCTTAGCAAAGAGTCTTAAAACACTTTTAAAGGGCTGTGGATGTAGTGCAAAGGGCCTGGGTTCAATCCCCAGGACCACAAAACAAACAACAAATACCTCCACAACTTATGATTGCTAGCATCATTTCACAAAATAAATAATATTGTACTATCTCCCAAAGTGTCATATTAAAGGAAGAATACTTCTGATCTAGTTCAAGCTTGAACAGACAGCAAATTCCTCTTTAGAAATTTCAGACAAATGCAGTGCAATTTTCCTTTCACTGGGTTAAAACTCTGCTTCCCTTTATCATGACACCTACAGCAAACCCCAAATCAGTGGGTAGTTTTTATTAAATACTTTATGGTGAATATTTATTGACTGCTTACTATGTGCCAATCATTGATTAACCACTCTACATATATATTCATTGCCTAGTATTTTTTTTTTCTTTTGGTACCGGGGATCAAACTAGGGTTCTTGCATTTGCTAGGCAGGTGCTGGAACCACTGTGCTAAATCCCCAGCCCTCTACATGTATATTCAAATTGAAACTTCAGAATAATCGTTAAGAAGTGGGCACTATTTTACACAATCCCAGATACATGGGAGGTTGAGGCAGGAGAATCTTGAGTTTGAGGCCAGAGTGAGCAAAATAAAAAATAGAAAGGAATGGTGATGTAGCTGTAGCTAGGTAGAGAATACCCCTGGGTTCAATCCTTAATATTACAAAAAAGTTACAAAAAAAATTTGCTCCAGGTCAGTTACCAGTTACTAGATGGTAGTACCAGTCTGAGACCAAGCAGCCTGGCAGTGGAACCTAATCCCTATCTACTACTCTTTACTCTTCCCCATTCCTTTTTGTGTCAGATCACTTTTTTTTTTGGTTTTTTTGAGACAGGGTCTCACTATGTAGTAGAGACTGACCTGGAACTCCCTATGCAGCCCAGGCTGGTCTCAAACTCACAGCGATCCTCTTGCCTCAAGCCTCAGCCTCAGCCTCCAGAGAGTGCGCCACCACGCCCGGCTCCTGTGTCAGATAACTTTTGAAGTGTTTGTTGTTGTCTTGCTTCTTACAAAATCCTCTTTTTGCTAGACTGTTTCTGGTTTCCAGACCCATTATCCTTTGGCTCCATCTGTTAGGCCCTCTCATCAACTGTAAAAGGAGACTGTTATCACTCATGCTTTGATTACATTTTTGTTTGTTTGTCTGTTTTGCTTTTCTACATAGACAGGGTCTTACTATGTGGTCCAGGCTAGCCTTGAACTCAGTGATCTTTCTGCCTCCTCAGCCTCTGGAGTGCTGGGATTATAGGTGTGTGCTACCATGCTTAGTAGGCCATAATACTTCTATCAAACTGCAATTTATGGGCCAGGGATTTAGCTCAGTGGCACTGCCACCTGCATCACAAGCCAAGGTCCATAGTTTGATCCCCGGTACAAAAAAGCAAACAAACAACCAAATGCAATTTATAATGGGAAGGAAGATGGGAAAATTCCTTAAAGACAGGAGGGACCAACCCAAATGATGTGGCTTTAAATAAGAAATCCTAGAACACCTCACAAAAAATGGTACACCAGTTTGGAAAGTACAAAATTGAAGTGGGGTTAGTAACAATGTACTTTGAATAAACTGCTAAGGGAAGAAGGCCTACATCAACAGAAAATCTTGGTCTTGTTGGGCATGGTGGTGCATGCTTGTAATCCCAGCACTAGGAAGGCTGAAGCAAAAGGATTAGTGTGAGTTCAATGCCAGCCTGGGCTACACAGTGAGCTGATTGTTGCTGTAACCTTTGTAGCTAAATAAATGGACACATTAGATAAGGTAAAATTTATGCAGTGCTTGACTGGAACATTTACATGTTTACTCCTTTCTCTACTTGCTCACAGCTCCTCCTATTAAATCAGAGAAATGACTGAGTGGTTCCACCTTGTCTGAGGTCAAGTGTACGCACCCGGATAGCCTTTGAGTCCATAGGCTTGCCACTTGCTGACTGGCTTAAGCCCTGCTCGATGTGCATCCTGCTCACTGACAGAGGACACACTTAACTGAGATCTGACCACCTGAAAGGAAGCAAACAAAAGTTAGAGAGATAAAGCTATTTTATAAGACTGGGAACCTCAATCTCAGAAGACATTTTTGGTATGGAGTGCTTAGGTTGGGGGTTTTTAATCTCAGCTGTACCACTTACTTGGCCTGGGACTGTTAAAGGACTAACTTAACTTCCTAGAAGTTTAGTTTGTTTTGTATGTATGTTTTGCTTTTTTTGTACCAGGGATAGAACTCAGGTCCTTGTGTGGCAGGTGGCAGAACCACTGAACTAAATCGCCGGCCCCCCCTCTTAATTTATATATTAACAAATACTAGAAAGTTATATAAAGTGTCAGGAGAGGAAAATTAACAAAAAGGTGGTTTGGCCTTCAATACTACTATTTTCTATGAGACCACACCTTGGTAATAGATTCATGAAAATTATTTGGTATATTGGAATATCAGTCACTGCTGCTCTGATTAATATACTGCTTCTGAGGCACCTGTGCCTGGCTGATGTTTATACAGAGCTATAAGGAATAAGCAGGCTGGTAAGGAAGAGAGTATGAAAAGAGTGTTCTAACCAAAAAGAAAAAAGTTTCAATAAAACACTTGGAACTCCGGTTGCTCAAAGTATAATAGTTTTACTTTTTTAGATGAAATGTTGATACTAGCATTTTGCTTTTGGCAGTTACTTTAATGTATTATGGCTGATGAGGTTTTCTTCGCACATCAAAGCATCTTATGGATGGTTCCACTCACTGTTTAAGACACCTAATATGCAGTTAAGGTAGGGTAGTAAAAGAAAAAAAAATATTCTTTCATGAATAATAAACTTAGATTCTGGCTTTTCTTAAATACATTAAGCGTCAGAGAGATGACCTTTTATCCTACAAACTTTTCTCATTATGGAGATTTCCAAATAAAATACCAACCAGTGACTGGTATATAACCAGTGTTTATAAGAGAATGACTAGTGAAATTGTCTAAGTCTTGATCCTCTGAAATTTCCAGGTATTCTGGGGTTGACAAAACATTTTTTCATGATTTTCTTAAACAGGCCCTAATTAACACTGATTATAATTTATCAATACCTATGAGCTGGTATGTTTGAATCTATTCTATCATATGCTAAACTGAACCAAACCACTCAACTTCTAAGAGTTTTTCTGCTTTCTCCCTTGCCAGGCTGTTAGCCCTCATTTCCCCACTTCTTTAATCAACTGGGTTGTGATATGAACTTCTCTAACTTGCTACTTTTAACCTGCTTTGAGGTGGGGAACTAAACACCAAAGCTTTCATACTCAACACACTATTTTTGTGAGTGCTGACAGTTTTGGGTACTATGCTGGACTCCGTGTCCCATTCTCAGGTGGCTTACATTCTAAAATTATGCACAATGGTAAAATATACATATATGCAGCTCAGTGAGGTTCTGAAGCACTTTCAGCCAAGGATGCTGTTGGGGGGTGGGGTGGCTTGAGATGCCTGGAACTGTGTATGTAGCCCAGGCTGGTCTCTGAACTCACAGCGATCCTCCTGCTTCAGCCTCCCTCGTGCTAGGATTATAGGCGTGTGCCACCATGCCCAGCAAGGGTGCAGTCTTATAAGGCATACTTTTTATGTTCAATTGAAGTTGCAGCTGGGTGTGGAGGTGCAGGCCTATAATCGCAGCATTTGGGGAAGTTGAGGTCAACCTGGGCTACACTGTGAGTACAAGACCAGCCTGAACTACATAGCAAGCCTGTCTCAAAAAACAAAACAAAACAACAAAAACAAAAAACACCAAATGAAGTTGCAGACAAGCTGAGTTCTAGACAAGTACAGAGATACCACAGCATTACAATCTATTGCTTGGGAAGAATGCCTCATTTAGACATCTGTGGACATGAAAGGCCTATTAAAGAACTGCATGTCCTCACTGTTAAAAGCAGTTGTAAAGAAATATAACTGCAGTTCAGTTGCGGTGTGCCCTGTGACACCTTTCCCCCATCGTGTTCCCTTTCTAAATTTTCAGGGGAAAACAGAGAAATAAGTAACGGCATTGGTATGTTATATACACCCCTTTGACATTTATTTTCAACTTGGGGAGATTATCTCAGAATCTTTCAATGACTTCTTGAAATAGGTGAAGAGACGTCTGGGACTAGTTTTTTTGCACAAATGGAACTAAGAATATAGGATCCCTCTCAGTTCTGGGATTAAAGGTTGTTTTTTTTTTTTTTAACTGCAGAATTCTAACAACAGCTACAAAGACGTTCTATAGGGTTTTGCACAAAACAAAGTAGAGCTAAAACATGTAGTTAAAGGGAAGAATAAACCACTAAATTCCCGGGCTCTTTGGACTGAGGCGGGGAATGGCAGTGTGAAGAAACCTGGAGCACAGCGCTTTATCACCGAAGTGTGACGGCTCGTGAGCAGTTCGAATCCGCGCCCAAGTAGGAAGGGGATCTCTGGAAGAGAGGAAGCCTCTCCGACATAGGTAATCTAGCAGATCAAGAGGCGCGCGCCGCTCCTCTTTCCGTACCTTTTGGGCCCCAGGACCCGTGCTGCGGCCTCCGTGGGCCGCCGAGAAGTCGATGACCCCTCCTAGGTCTGCTGTCCCAGGCCGGCTTTGCCGGTAGAAACGGAAAAGTTTCCGAAAGGCGTCTTCCCCGGGTTCTGTAGCCAATATGGCCACAGGACTCACAGCTGCAGCCATCTTCCCCATCTCGCGGGCTGAATGCTCTGACCCGGAAGCAGATTCCTCTGCGTGTGCTCTGGCAAGTTCTTCCGGGGTCACGACTCTGGGTCTTGGAGGAATTTTCAGTCTAAAGATGGCAGCCTCCGTAGCTAGGGGTGCTGTAGCGAGGGGTGCCTCGGCGCTGCGTGCGAAGGTCACTCCGCGGGTTGCTTTTGTCAGGAAAATTCCTTGGACTGCAGGACACAGTGAGTGATGGAGATGGAGACGGGCGGAATTCTTAGGTCCAAGGCATAGGCAAAACCCCGGACTTCTGCAGATAGTTTATGAATGTGGTGGCCGGATTGGAAGGCCGAACTTGCTCTTTAGCAAGCCAGGGCAGGGGAATTTTGTTTGTAAGAAACTGTTTAGGAATGCCCCTGAGCTTTTAGGTCACGAATTCACGGTCTCCTACAATTCAGAGTGATTTGGTGGAAAGGTTTATTAGTTGCGAATTTTGAGATTTACGATTTATAAGGGGCTGCAGTGTGGAGTTCAGAGTCAAGGTGGCGAGATTGTAGACGTGATGACGACATAAAAGGTAATTTCATTTAGTTCAAGGCTAAGGACCCGCTAGGGATGTAGTATAGTGGTAGAGCGGGTTGCCTATCATGTATCAGGCCCTGGATTCGAACGTCTCTTCACCTGCTCTAGATGAAAATAGGAACTAGGGAAGCGTTAAAAATAGAGGGGTCAGATCTTCTGACCCACGGCTTTTCGTGATGGCTTGAGGAGCTAATGATACAGTATGACAGAAAGCCAAGAATGATTTCCAGAGTTTTTAGAGTTGGTGAATATGTGTTTAGAATTTAGGCAGAGCTGGACGAGAGAAAGCAAGGTAAAAAGTTGAAATGTGTTGGAATTTGAAAATCTTGTGAGGTCCTGTCAAGCAACTGCATTGAGGTTGTACGTGGTGAGAAGTGGACTCCGAAGGCAGATTTCCTGGGTTAGAATAGCACCTCAGCTATTTAATAGTTGTATAACCCTAGTAACAAGCTAGTATGGGTAAGGGGCTCACGACTGTGCCTCAGTTTACTCATCTAAAAAATGGAGTCGATAATCCTTACCTACCTTTTAAGACTAAGGAGAGTATTAGATGAGTTTATATATACATTTTTTAGATTTGTGCTAGAGTGTGAGCACTCAATGAATGAGAATTATTTTCGTGGTCACTAAAATGAATGCTCATGGCCTAGTTTGGAGATAGTGTTGGAGTAATTCTGTAATTTTTTAGCAACTTTGATTTTTGTCATTTGGAATTTTGAGTTAAGATTTTTTAAAAAAATTGAATTTATTGGTACATTCTAGGTAGACAGTACAGTTACATTCATTACTGGGATCTTGTACCTTTACATGCCAGGTCTTGGTTCATCTTTTCCCCTTGTCCCCACTCTCCCTTCACCCTCTCCTCCCTCCCCTTGAGTTAAGATTTTTAAAATTTACTTACTACAATGTAAAAATCCATGTTCATGTTTCAGCAATATTCAGGTAAAGATCAGCACCTGTTTTAACTCAAGGTTTTAGATGTTTCAGGCCATAGTTGCTTGGCCTTGTTGCTTTGGACCTGTGGTAGCACCATGATGAGAGAGCGAGTATGAGCGATCTACTTATTCACTCATCCAATATTGAAACCTTATTGTGTAACACACACTGTAAATGTAGTAGTTTCTGTGCAGCTTATAGTATAGAGGTGGGTGGGACTAAGGAAAGTTATAAACATATATAGGTACTTTAGAATGAAGTTTACATGAACTAGGAGACACAGACAGGTAATATAAAATGTAAACCAACAAATATCAGTTATAGTTCAGAAGAGATCATGTAATTTTTTAACCTTTAATATTACATACTGTATTCTCTTTTATGGTATATAATTGTAAAGAGATCTCACAGGGATAGTACATTGTCTATTATAGAAGCCCAATAAAAGAATACTCAGTGGATGTATTTTGCTAGTTAGAATTTAGGTAGAAGGAGATAGGGGTACTGACACACAAAAGGAAGAGAACAACATGTGCAAAGATGGGATTCCACAGGACAGGACAGGACAGGATACAGAAAATTCAATTTGCTGTCCTGGAGAGTAACTGGGCTGGCAGTGAAATAAGGATGGAGGGTAAGGTGGGATTAAATCAACACACTTTAGAGCGTTTAACTCAGTATAAACTTAGGAAGGACTAGAAAGTTGAGGTTTTATTTGGAAATCTATTGGCTGACAACAAATTAGGTCATACTTATTTAACTTCTGTATGATCTACTTACAAGGGTTTTAATGTACACACCTGGAGTACGGTACCTAGTATAATGAAAACACTCCATAATTGCTGAGTATGGAGACTGCAGCCAGAGCAGCAGTTCATCTGCCTGTGTCCTCATCCCTACCAAGTGTGATGTATTACAGTAACATAGTCACTCCTGTGGCTGCTTGCTGAATCTTAAAGTTAAGGGAATGCAAAGTAATTTCTGTCTATAGGAAATTTGGGGATGCTGGGACCCTTTTTAGTTGCTATTTGTAATGGAGGTTGGAGAAAATGAAATATAGTAACTCCTTTAATATGTTGTCTCTCCTCCTACAGATGAGCTGAGAGAACACTTTGTTCAGTTTGGCCATATACGAAAGTGCATTCTTCCTTTTGTGAGTATTATTTTTAAAAAACTGTTGAGGACTGCTGGTGTAGCTCAGTGATAAGAGCACTTGCCTAGCATGTGTAAGGTTCTAGGTTTGATTTCCATTACAAAAAATTGTTACCCTCTAATTCTTGAATTTTTAAAAAATCAAAGCATATCAGCATGTTATTATCTAATGAAGCTGTTCAAGTCTTTATTAATAAAATTATCAACAATACTAGTTAAAACATAAAAAAATCTTTTTTTGTGGGGGGATGTAAGGTCTCACTATGTAGTTTCAGCTGGCCTTGAACTCAAGGTGATCATCTTGCCTCAGTTTTCCAAGTGCTAGGATTATGGGGTTACACCACCACAGGCAGCAAAAACTAAATTTTTTGGAGAATATTTTTTAAAAGTTCTAAAAATAAGATTTTTTTCTTGGTTGCCGTGTAAAAGTAAAAATGAAGTAATTTAGGACCTGAAAGGATCTTAAATGAAGCTTTGATCGTTGGTAAAACTAAAAAGGTAATTAAAAAAACATTAATTTCAAGTTAATTTACTCAAATTGGAAATTCTGACTCTAGTCTTAGGAATATATTATGCTATTTTTTTTTTTTTTTTTCGTACCGGGGATTGAACTTGGGTTCTTGTGCTTGCAAGGCAGGACACCGAACCGCTGAGCTAAGTCCCTGGCTCAGGAATATATTATGGAAAAAAATTTTTTTGAGACAGTGTCACTGTGTAGTTCAGGCTATTCTTGAGCTCAGAGGAATCTCCCTGCCTCAGCCTCCTGACTGCTGAGATTACAGGCATGCACCATCACTTGTGGCTGTATTATGTAAATATTACCACAAACATCTTTTATAATACCTTTACTTGCAGAATGGTTACATGGAGGTATTTATCAGATAGGGTGGTGGATCATTGGTGTATCATCAGAAACTTCCTATGTTCTAGGTTAATACTCAAAGTAAACTTTGAAGTCTGAACTATGAGCAGTATCTAAAACACGGTGTTTTTGTAAAGTATTACTTTGGTTTTAGTTTTTTGTTTTTTTTTTTTCTGCTACCAGGGATCAAACTCAGGTCCTTGCACTTTCAATGCAGGTGGCGGAACCACTGAGCTAAATCCCCAGCCCCAATAAAGTATTACTTTGTAATGAGACTTATGAGGACCTAGTGGTCATCTTCATTGAATAGGCATCTACCTCAGTATGTTTTTTATTGGAGGGCTGTAGGGTCAGGCAGGATATCTTCAAGCACACTAGAATCTCTTTTTGTGTGTCACAGATTGAGTGATAAGCACTCTGCACAAGTACCAAATGTTTAACCATATGTTTGGAATTATGTAAGGTGAGTATCTTTCCCACTTTTCATTGGGAACATGTAATGATAAAGGTAAGGGTGGTGATGACATTAATTGGTCTCAGAAATGACCAGATTTAACTAGGTTTGGGGTCTTGCTTTTCTAGTTCCCAGGAGTTAGAATTATCAGTGATTATAATTTATCCCTTATTACTATTAGCGTGGATTGCATCTAGAATAAGAGAGCTCACTACCCATTATCTTACTTGTCCAATGGCACTGGAAAAGCTGTTAACACTGGGATTTAGCCTTGGTAAACTAGGAGGGTAAATATATACTTTAAGCAAAGGTTACTGACATTTATTAATGTCTGCAGTATGATTTTATTAAGTGAAAAAGTTGGTAGTTTGATTTGAAGCTTATGGAAACTTACATTTTTTATTTTTAGGATAAGGAGACTGGCTTTCATACAGGTATGGGTTGGATTTACTTTTCTTCAGAAGAAGAGCTTCAGAATGCACTGCAACATGAAAATCATGTAATCGATGGAGTAAAAGTAAGTCTGTTTCCACATTTTATCACGAGCTTGCCATGTACCAAATAGAATTAATGGAATGACATGAACCTTGGGAAATTTATGCCTGACAAGCTTCTTTAATGCTTATTAAAGATTGATGGTGGTAGAAACCAGGCATCACATGCCTGTAATCCCAGCACTTTGGAGGCTGAGGCAAGAGAACCACTATTTGAGGCCAGGTTGGGCAAAAAAATAAATTCAAGGCCAGCCTAAAGTGAGACCCTGTCTCCAAAAGAAAAATTTGGTGGTGGTAGAGTAACAGGTTCTAAAAGGCCTGAGGAGGAAAGTACAGGAAACCCCTCTATTTTTGGTGCTGTGGATTGAACTCCAGGCTTCATGCATGTTAAATATGTGCTTTACCACTGACCTACACCTCCAACTAGAAGTCCCTTTGATGGTTAGTGATGTACATGTTACACAGAACATGGGAAAGAGTGTCCTTCCAAGTCAGGCAAATGGGTTGAAATCTTAGCTTTCCCACTTACATTATCTTGTTCTAAATTGACTTAGAACTTTTAATCAAAGTTCAAGGGATTCTTAATAACTGCTTGAGTCACTGGTGCTGAATCTCTTAAAAAAAAAAAAAGCATTCTTATAAAATACTGATTTTAATATTTTTGGAAACATTGCCTTTTCTTATACTGCTTGCTTATTTATTTACTTTATTTAGGTCCACGTTCAAGTTCAAAGATCAAAACTTTTGCAAGGGGATCAAACATCTGATGAAGATTAAGATTTCTGGGATGTTTACTACCCATTAATTAAATAAACACAAAAACACAAAAGAGAATTTTGTCTAAATTTTTTATTTGAAACAAATAGTTGCAGTAAGCAAGACTTTCCCCACTCCAAAAAACAAAACAAAACAGAACAGGGGCAAAATTCATTTGATAGCACAGTTCCAATATGTAAATATCCTCCTACTCATTGTGGTTGGGCTTTTAATTATAAGCAGTTGTTCTTTCACAAAATATTACCTCTATTTGTGTCACATGAAAAGTGGTCTCAACTCTGTGTGGGGTAGTATGTTCTCTAGGTGCCAAAAAGGTGGGAGAAACACAAACACAACCCACTCTTAGAAAAACTAATTCAAAGTAGAATTTTCAACGCCCCCCCCCCGTCTCCTGTAATAAAAAGTAGTGCTGGGATCTAGCACCCAGATTTGGTTTTTTCCTGACCATTTTCAAAGAGTTCCCCCATGACTTGCATCATTAGGGTTATGAATAATAGTTCATTCACTTTGAAGACAGCTGGATTTACTCTTTCCTCCTCTTCTTGCCTTCATGCTCATGTTCCTTGGGGCGGCTGCTATCTGAAGGTCTTTTAGAGCCACCATGCTGTTTGGCTTCTTCCAAAAATTTGTCCAAACCAAAAGGATCTTCTTCGAACTGAACAGGTCCTTCTCGACCTCTCTTACGGTCAGAACCAGAAAATTCCTTATCAGGAACAAATCTAGAACAAGAGAAAGGACTATGAAATAGTTCTGTTTTATTGGTGTAAAAACTAAAACTGAACTGTCTACCATGGTACCTGTTGGTCTTTATTCTGGCTTCTAGGTCATCACCATACATGTCCTTGTCCAGATTTTTACTGGGCCTATAAATACTCTGGGCCATATCTTTACCACCTCTCCAGGCTTGATCATAAACATTATAAATTTCATCTTCTCCACCTGCAAATCCACTGTCCATACCCTGGGGAAAAATGAATGACATGAAATAAAAAAATATAGATTATTGAAAGGTGAAGCTGATTTCCTCTTGAGAATATGCACTTGCTCATAGTATTTTCAAATATCTGAACTTCAAATTATAAGAATGTCATTTATCCAGTGTACATAAGGTTCATATTGCTAAATTCGGATTAATAAGGTATTCATTAATAGGTTGGAGTACTTTAACAAAGTAATCATTAAAATCGAGGGCTCTCTTACAAGCAGGTACTTGACAATTTCAAAAAAATTTTTTTTTGGCACTGGGGATCGAACCCAGGACCTTGTACTTGCCATGCAGGTACAGGGCCACTGAGCTAAATCCCCAGCCTGACAATTTCAAGTTTTTGTTGTTGTTTTGAGACAGGGTCTCACTATGTAGCCCAGGCAGGTCTCGAATTCACAGCGGATCCTGTCTCAGCCTCCCGAGTGCTGGGATTACAGATGTGTGCAACCACGCCTGGCTTGCCAATTTCACTTTTTATGGACATAGTGGCAAGAAGATCCAAGAATGGTTAAAACTTCTGATTCCATTTACACCAAAATAAAGTTACAGCTCTTAACTATCAGAATATCATTGTTACAGCACAAGGCAATAAGGCTCACGATGAAAACCTTAAATAAATTTTCATTTATGATTTAGATCTAAAATGTCCAGCAAAAGCCTCCTGTAACAGTTTATATCTAGTTGTTCCTTCGAAGCCTCATGTGCTCATAGGTGAAGCTTCTGAGAGTTGACTGGATCCATGGGGGTGAGATACTCATCAATGGATTAACTCACTGGTACTAAGAGGAGGTGGGTTACTGGGGGCATGGCCTGGAAGGGCTTATCTTGTCCCTCCTTTTAATTGCTCTAATTCCTACCTGCCACACCATGAGCAATTCTCCTTTGCTATGCCTCTCTGCTATAACATCTTGCCTTGGAGCCAGTTTACTATGGACTGAAATCTCTACAAACTGAGTAGAAATAAACTTTTCCTACTTAAGAGTTGTGGGTGCCAGGTATTGAGCCTCAGCTATGAGAAAGTAACTAATACATCTCACGTGGAAGATGACTGATTGGATCACAGAGGGCACTATACTCATTAGTGGATTAGTCCACTAATAAATTCATAGCTGTCTTGCTATCATGGAGATGAGGCCTGGTTACAGAGCAGTCACTGGGGGCGCAGACCTAGCAGAGTATTATCTCCCTCCCTGGCTCTTTTCTCTACTTCTGGCTGCCACAGGTTGAGCATTTTTTCTTCCACAACATCCCTCTGCCATCTTGTTTTTTCTGTCTTGGAGCCAGCTGACCATGGACTAAAACCATGTGCCAAAATAAACCTTTCTTATAAGTTTTGGGTGTTGGGTAATTTGTCTCAGCAACAGCAAAGTGATGAAGACTTAAATGCTTTAAGCTTTTAACAGTTGAAAATATTTACTTACATGGAATTTTCAGCCCTAACTTGATTTTTTTTCAGGCTGATAAACTGCCACTGGAATCAAGACATTCAATTTGAATCTTAATTCCATCAGTTACTAAATAAATCTGCATCTCAATTTCCTTCTCCATAAAGAGATCATGAATTATGACTACATAGGTTTTATTTTTTAAGGGTTAAGATAATACAAGATTTAGAACCGCACTAAGACTAAAAAGTACTCAATAAATTTCTTAGAAAAGAATATTAAAATTAAACTTTCAAATTTTCCCAAAACCTCCAAGTTGTAATTAACTTTCCCCTTCTATCCCAGTAGAATTGACACTTCTATATTCCTTATGCTTTTTTTTTTTGGTACTGGGGATTGAACTCAGGACCTTGTGCCTACAAGGCAGGCACGGTGCCACTGAGCTAAATCCCCGGCCCACCCTGACTTTATATATGTATGGTTTCTTAAAGGCAAAAGTGGATCCACTTTTGATCTACCGTCTTATACATAATAAACAACACTAGGTTTATTAAAATCATGTGTCCTAGTTGGTTAATGACAACTGGTACTAGAAATCAGATTTTCTGACAATCAGGCTGGTATTTTACTTTTAAAGCTTAATTTTAAAAAGATTACAAGTTGACATGTCTCTGTGACATTAAAAAAAAAAATCCAGCCAGGTATGGTGGTACATGCCTGTAATATTAGCATCCTGGGAATCTGAGGCAAGAGGATCCCAAGTTCTAGCCCATCCTGGAAAATTTAGAAAGACCCTGTCTCAAAGTAGAAAAAAATACATAAATAAATAAATAAAAAGTAAAAAATAAAAAGAGATGGGGATGTAACTCAGTACAAAGACTCTGGATTCAATCTCCAGTAGTTAAAAAAAAGATGACTACCACCAAAATGATCTAGAGTAGTTATTTTTGGTAGGCTATATTTCAGAAACAAAAGATAGACCTACCAGAACCCAGTTTTATCACCTGCCTTCTTTTATTCTTTAGTAGTACTTCAAATTACAGCCAGTTATAAAATGTTATAATTAGAAGTGTTTCATTTTGTCTTTTAAATAACAACATAGAACTTCCATTTTATTCCCCTGCCATCATACTAGCATACCCATCTAAGATACGTAAATTTTCTTTTATCTGAGGCTAGATATTCATATCAAGACACAAACTGGGCTGTTTCCCGACTCCTTTACCTTAGATTGGTTGAAGAGCCTTTGGTCATACTGAACTTCATTTGAAGTCCGAGGATTGGGTACACCAAGAGCAATGACTTCACTGATATCTCGATTTTCATTTCTCTGCAGTTTTGACCTATTTGAAATATGTTATCATTAGCTGAACACTCTTTGCAGACAAACTGAGTATATTCAATTTAAATACAACTAATCTCAGAAGCAAAGGAAATGAGTATGTCATTTCATGTCTTGTGATCATGTATTCCTAGATAATGCATAATCAGGTTGACAGCCCTTATGGCATTTCAGATACATGATTTAGGGGAGGGACAGGAGGCAAGGGAAAGTGAAAAGAGGTATGTCCATGTACCAACTCCCCATGAGGAATGTAATCATTAGGTACTTCAATATGTACTAATAAAAATTTAAAACTAAGATGATTAAAAGAAGATCCATGATTAGAAGAGATAGAATTCCACATTAGGGACTTCACTAGCTCAAAAGAACAGCCAAGGGCCAGGGATTTAGCTCAGCAGCATAGAGCCTGCCTAGCAAGTGTGAGGTCCTGATCCCCAGTACCGGTGGTGGTGGGGGGGAGGAACAGTCAAAAGACTGGCCCACAAAATTCTTTAATATATGCCATTTCCTTACAATTATGCTAAGATACAAAATTGCTATAGTCTTTATTTGCTGTTATGAGAGAATTCAGTGGGCTGGGGAAGGGGATGAAACATTATGCATTATTTAAATTTCAATAACTGCGTTTAACTTTGAAGAAAACATGTCAATGACTGGATTCTATGAGAATTTTGACTCTCAGATTAATTTAATTTTGCTCTTTTGATATGTATGTATTCCAGATCCCAATGAAACCATGGTAACTGTCATTACTTATTTTACTAGAAATTCAGGTTTTAAAATGATTTCTATAGACAACCTGATTTCTTCCAATCAGAAGTTTAAAACTTTTGTGTTACCAATCCTCACAGCCACTTTACTGGTTTTTAAGGATCCAGCATATCTGTATAGTTTCTGATTTTTAAAGTTTAGGAAGTTCCAACCTACAACATTATTAATTGAAAATTTCATGCTTCATTCCTCTTTCTTCTACATTACTGATTTACCCACAACTCTGAATTCAGATTCTCTGCTTCTCCAGTAAAACGAAATATGCCATTTAAGATATGACTTGAAAAATATATTGTGTCAGCTCCTAACATAATCAGAGCATAAGAAAACTGCATTTGGAAAGAAAATATTTTACATTTACATTTAACATTGACTGAGAATTCCAACTTTGTATTTAGCATTTCAAGTTTTTAGCAATTGTAGACCTCATACTTGAGTAAATCACAAACGACTCCGATACCTACATTATGTCCTCATACATGTTTTTAGTTTGTCTTACACCATTTTGTACTTATTAAGAGTGCCTTGTAAATTTTTCCAATGTATTTTATATGATAGCTTTGTCTTTCTAAATT